GAGGGGAAAAAAAAAAAGGCACAACAAAACCACAAAACCAAACTTGTAAGTGAAGCTGCAAATGCAGCCGAATAGTCCGGATCAGACAATTCATTGCACAAAAAAAAAAGAGGATAAATGGAACTGCAATGGCCGGCTTTGCTGTAGATCCGGGAGGAGGGATCAGCGCCTTTATCCCACCATCTCGCGCTCCAAACACCACCATTTTTCTCTCTCTAATTTTTTTTTTTTTTTTTGTTTAATGTGCTTTGTTGGGGCGTTTTGTTTCGAGCCGAGCGGGGCTGCACCACCCCTGAGCCCCGAGCCGGGGCTGCCAGAGCCGCTCATGGGCTTCACTTTTACAGAGATCTCTGTTTTTTTTTTTCCCCCGGCCTTGTGCAATCCTCTCCCTTCTATTACGTGTTTTTTCCCCTCTGCGGATATAAAGGTTTCTCTCCCCTCTCCAGCTTGGCTGCTTATTCCAGAAGCTTCCACGGGGGCGGGGAGCCCCCACTGCAGCGCCTTTGCCGCAGCGCCGGGCAGGAGGAGGAGGAGGAGGAGGAGGAGGAGGAGGATGCGGAGGATGCACCACCTCTCCCTGGCTGGGAGCCTCATTCCAAGCCTCTCCCCCTCGCTCCGTTCCCCCAGCCTTGAAAACACAGCGCTGGGAGGTGTTTGCAGCTTGATTTTTTTTTTTAATCTTTTTTTTTTTTCCTGAATAAATGGAAAGCAGAGCTATTGCTGATGGAGATGGATGAGGGCAGGACTGGCAGCGTGGCCAGGGCACCGATGGCACAAGTGACCTTTCCCAGGCGGTGGGAGGGAGGATTCCCCTCCCACCCCAGCATGCTCCTGCTTGGAATTCATTTTAAATAGCAGGAGCATTATTTTTTATTTTCTTTTCCCCCTCCCTTTGCTCCCTCACTGATTTTTGGTTGGGTTATTTTTTTCTTTTTTTTTTTTTGAAGCTTCCTCACAATCTTTTTTTCCTGTGTGTGTTTTGAATTGCGTTTTAAAATTGCCCAGCTGGAGACAAGGCTTGATTAGAGCTGGAACAATAGCTCCCTTTTATTAATAACGGGAAGGATTTACAATCCTACAGCACCTTCCTTGGAAAGCTTTCCAAACCATTTGCAAACACTCACAAATTTCAGATTGCACAGCCCTTGGCTGTGAGGTGGGTAAGTATTTTAATGGTGCCACCACCCAAAATCACCTCGGTGGCAAATCTACATTTTTAAGAGCTTTAAAAGATGACGAATTTGTTTGGGTTTTTTTTTTGGGGGGTGGGGAGGGGGGTGTATGAGGGGGGCTATTTAAAAGCTGTAACCTAAATCTGTAGATGCAGATCATTTGCTGCGTCCTGGGAACTGGGCAGTTCTCCCTCCCACCACGCAGCTTTCCAGAGCTGAGCTGTGGATTTGCTGCACGTCAGTAAACATCTGCTTATGGATTTTTTTTTTTTATTCCCTTTTTTAATCCATTCCCTTTATGCAGTCCCCAAGTGACCTCCTGCAGCGCTGCAGTTCGACCACAGCTTTGCACTGAAGCACTGATGTGTCTCCCTGGGAGCCAGAGTGACCTTGCTGGGGGACTGGGCCCACCAGGCAATGCAGATGCTCCTCTTCATCCCAGATCCCTGTACCCCTTTTTCCCCAAGGCATCCCTTCCCTCACCCAGGGGGATGTTACAGTGTTACAGTGGGCAAAGCTGTTTCATGCCTTAGTTTTTCTCTCTTTTTAATTTTTTTTTTTATTTCCTGGGGAAATAGTGGGTTGTTTGTGTAACCCCTCTCCCCAGCAGATCCCTACTAGCCACGCAGGGATCTGCAAGTCCCTTGGGCAGTGGGATCCCGCCTTTCCATGAGTGTGAGGCTCCATCCGTGTCCGTGTGTGTCATACACGGGTCACAAAACCCCACAGTGTTCCTGTGGTTAGTTTTGTCTGGAGACCGTGAGTGGGTCCCAGGGCTTCCCCTTCCCACCACTTGCTGGTTCACAAAGGCTGATGCTTCTGGAAAAAGCTCTGCCTTGTGGCCTTTTTTAAAAAAAAAATAAATAAATAAAGTGGCACTGCTGGGGATTAGTCATCCTTATTTTTGAAGGAAGCTGTTTGCCAGCGCTGTCTGTATCACGCATGTGCGTGTGAGATGGGAACTCCAGAAGGCTGGTAACGTGCTCCGCTCGCTGCTCCTTGGAGCTGAGCCACCCAGGCTCCATTGAGCTGCTCCTGGCAGGTGGAAAAACTGACAGTCCGGCTTTCCAGACCCTTTCCCTCCATTTTTTCAGGGCTGGAATCTCTGCATTGGCAGGTGTGGAAACGTGGAGGCTGTAACTGCAGTGAGCGAGGACGGATGAGCTGTTTTCTGGGGTCACGTCCAAGTCCAGAGAAGAAACCCTGGTGATTTATAATCCTTTTTTTTTGCCTGTGGTGGATTTTACTCTGAGCTCCGCTGCATCTTGTGAGAAGACTGAGTTTGACCCTTTTGGCTGCTGAAAATGGTTCTGTGTTTAAAGCTCGGTGCTTTTTCCCTTCCCTGTGGTCACGTAGAAGAGCGAACCGCGCAATTAACCAGCACAGCAAAGGGCAGCTCCCTCCCCCTTTCCCCTTTCAAAAAATCCAGAGTTGTGTGTCTTGAACTGCTGCATAGGCAGAAAACATACAAAGCCCTTGTCAGCATTGTGCTGATGTGTGGCACATTAAAAAAAATACACACAAAAGGGGTGGGGAGAGCGGGTGCCTCCAGGGAGCAAAACTGTGGGGCCCCTTTCCCTCCAAGCCAACAGACCTACGTGCCATAGTCTATTCCTCCTAATTTTGCTCAGGCGAAGGCAGTGGAGGTTGGAGGGAGTGTTCAACCTCCCAAATTGTGTTGGTGAAGATCAGGGTCCCCTTGAACTGTATTTTTTTTTCTCCATGAACTCACTCCCACAAGATGCTGCTGGTTTATTACTCCATTCCTCGCTCCCTGGGAAGAAGGAAAACGCTTCCTTACAGGGTGTGTAATTCCTTCTGTTGTGTTGCAAAGGTAATAAAAGGCACCTGGTGCTGGTCTCTCCCAGGTCACACATGACTTCAAGGCGCAGCTCCCGTGGTCATTAGTGCACAGGGAGTGCTGGCTTCGTTAGCCCTTAATGAGGATATCGGCATCAGGATTGCACGGATGCCTCTGGCAGACCAGGCCCTGCCACGCTGGAGCAGCCCCTTATGAGAAATGATTTCCCTGCTTGGTTGCTGCAGTGGTTTGTAGCACAGCCATGGCTTTATGCTTGTTTGGCCAAAATTAGGCAGAGGGGGAGGATGAGGTGGCCAGGCCAGGTTTCATCCCCTGCTCCCTGCGGTGGAGCTGGTGTGGGAACACCATCAGCAGCTCCTGTGCCTAAAGACTCGTTTGTACTTGGAATAAGGCAGCATGGACAGGGATATTAATGTTGTTCCTTCACTTAGGGCTGTGTTGGTTTGGAGATACGCCTCGTGCTCGTCACAGGGAGCTTCAGAGAAGCAAGAAGTTGGCTGTTGGGATGATTCCACATTTTTCAGCCTGGCACACCCTGTGGGACTTGGAATTACTTTCCTTTGGCAGTTTAGGATAAACGAGTGAGAATTACCTTATGAGTACTGAACTTTTACCACCCTGAAGACTTACTTGAGCTACATCCATGGCACTTCCAAGCTAAACAAAACCTGGATTTCTGGTGCCAAAAAGTGATACGAACCTCCTCCGTACAGGGGGAAAGCGTGGTCTTGCAAGCTTTCCTGTTATCCCAGAGAGTTAAAATGCTGCTCTGTGAGATCTGCAGAGGTGACATGAAATCCAAAGGCAGCTGAGAAACTTCTCCTGTGCTGTGTTGCTGGAGAGGCTTCTGAGAGCAGCAGGTCTCGATGCACAAATATTTCCCTTTATGCTTTCTCTGGAGTGAAGGAGCGATAACTGCAAGGACACGGGTTCACTCTGCTTGCTTTAAACACCCTCGTGTTGCTGCGGTATCAAAATGGTGTTTGATGAAACAAAAGCTCTGATGGTGGTGGCTCAGTGTTTATTTTGTGCTGGGTGTGCTGATCAGTCCAACGGGGAATGTGGGAAGAGCAGCCTAAGGCTCGAAGGTTTGGACTGGGGGGGTTGTGTTAAAGCCTTGTCCTGCAACATTTCCAGCCTGATTTCTGTGATTTCCTCCCCCCCCGGCATTGCACACAGAAAAAAAAATTATATTTTGATGTAGATTTAATACAACAATTAGGTGTTATAAATGGCAAAGTACAGGACTTAGTGATCTAACCAGTCCTAGGGGATTTATATCCTTTGCAGTTTTCCTGTTTGGGTATCAAATCACATGGCTTTTTTTTTTTACATTTATTTTCTTTGTTTTTGCCCTGAAATTTTGCTGCCTGGAAGACCATAGTCCTGTCTAGCTGATGAAAGCCCTGCATTTGGGAAGAATCCTTGTCAGATGGGTGGACACTGCTCCCTGGCACATGGTTGTACTGAAGCTGGGGGGCAAGAGGAAGCAGGGCAGAAGCTGACACGGTGATATCTTTAATTTTTCCCAACAATAGGCAAAAACATAGGTATGTATTCCATACATCTGCTGGACTGAAAGTGAGAGGAAGCTCTTTTGCAGTCCTGTTATAGCACCTGGTGTTTGGTCGCGTGGCTCAGCTCACTGTGCTCTGTTGCTGAAGAAACCTCTGGTGTTCTGTTAGCAAAGATTTTGAAAACAGAAATGTGCTTTTATAGAGAGATACAAAGGGCTTCAGTGTCAACAGAATTCCAGAGGCTCCTGAGCTGTGTTTACTGGGCTGCAGAAGGTGACTGGTGGCATTTTGTGGCATCTCCTATCCCTGGCACTGCGTGGATAAGAACACCACGGGGAAGAATTCATTTAAGAAAATA